AACTGCTGTAATCTCTCATCTTTTTAATTTGTCATTCTTCTTGTTTCTTTTCTTGTTTAATTTCTCGTTCTTCTTGTTTCTTTTCTTTTTCCTCTTACAACTGTCGTAATTTCTCTTCTCGTTCTTCTTGTTTCTTTTCTTGTGTAATTTCTCGTTCTTGTTTCTTTTCTTTTTCCTCTAACAACTGTTGTAATTTCTCTTCTCGTTCTTCTTGTTTCTTTTGCAGTTCTTGTATTGCTGCCATCAAGTCTGCTATGCTGTAGTTTGATTTGCCGCTTCTCGTTTCCATTTTTTTTTTTATCGTTCCACTTCTGACACTAATTTGTTACGTCTCCGTTTGTTGATTAACTTTCCGTAACTTCGTTCCGACGAAACTTTAGCAACACAAGTCCTTACTAAATAAAACTGGTTTATTCTTTCCGATTATAACTTTACGATACACCTAATTTCAACAATCGCGCTAAAACAAACACTATAACGAACGAACGTTAACTTCAACAATACCCTGTGACTACAGATCAATTACTCACTGTCTACACACACACATTATTCTCCCGTCACGTTGTCACCCTCTTTTATATACCAGACTACCCTATATCTAGTAAATGCTAGAGCATTCGCCAAGGTACAGGATAGTTCTAGAAACGTGGCGTGACACTAGTCAGGTGACCTCGCTGACGCAACAATATGTATCTTGGTAACCCAGGGTGTTCAACGCAAACTCCTTGGTACATACACATACATGTTTTGATTTAAAACTTTCAGGTCCTGAAAGGTAACCAAGAGTGGTGAGAAACTGCTGTTTGTCTTCACCCTACTCATGAAATTAAAGTTTATTCTTTTAATGAATGTAATAGAGTTTGAGCTAGTGGCCTAGAGGTTAAGTAACTTGATCAGGATTTACTAGCGGGATGTGAAGATTATTAATTTGTGGTTTTTTGAGTTACAGACTTGACTAATCTGTGTGGTAAACATGACTAATGAAATGCCTAAGGGCTTCCGGAAAATCTGCGAATGTCTCAAGTGAGAACAGGAAGTCACTCTGTTGATATAAAAATGTGACATAGACATTGATATAGACCAGTTGTGACAAAAGCAACAAAATAAACAAAATTGTTTTAATGCAACATTACATTTATGTAGTATTTGTGTTCAGAGAGTATTATCTTATTAGGTATTGGCTAGAGTCTAGCAATAATTTAGTTCCCAGTTTGCCCCTGAAGAAGAAAGGTCCACCTTTAGAAAGTGCTTGGGTTATAGGGTTTTTATTCATTTCTATCAAGACTTCTTGAACCTATTTGTTTTTCTAAGATCTTGAATAATTTATTTAAGATCTTTGTCAATTTCAAGTATTAAGAAGTATGTGCTGAATGAATATAATAAACCTATAAATAGCGGACAATTTATAACTCTTGTTAAGGCCACCAGTTAGATCATTTGATGCATTTGGCCAATACGTGGCAGATGATGTTTAACTATCCAAAATGTAAGATGATGCATGTAGGTTTTCACAATTCAAATTATTGTTACAGTTTAAAAGGGAATACATTAAATACTGTGGTTGAATAAAAAGATCTTGGTGTTCTGATTGAAGAATCACTTAAATCATCTTAACACTGTATTGTAGCTAGCAATAGGACTAATAGGATTTTGGGTAGCATCTGTAGAAATATTGAATATAAGACAAGGGATATTATTGTTACACTGTATAGATCACGTGTAAGGCCTCATTTAGAGTACTGTGTACAGTTTTAGGGTCGTACCCTTCCTAAA